GGGGCTAGACACCCGTGGGGGCAGGGCAAGTGTCCCAGGAGGGTGGTGCGGGGTGGGGAGGCGATGTCACCCCCCTCAGGGATGACACCTGGGGCGGACCACACCCACCACACCCACCCTTCCTCCATCAGTGGCCGAACAGGTTTCTGGATCTGGTGTAACTTCATGGTGGCCTAATTTACACTGGCTTGCTTTACACCTGCTTCTTGTCCGAAGGTTTGCTCCCCAAGGTTTTGTTGAACTTCGCATTCAAATCAAAAAGTAAACTACCCAGCGGATATATTTATGTTACATTAAATTCCACACATATTATGCCTGCATATTGAATATCCTCTTCTTCTTCTTCTTCTTCTTCTTCTTCTTCTTCTTCTTCTTCTTCTTCATACATGCCAAGAGGGTGACTACTAAAGGCTAACCCTATTTTGCAAACTCAAACCAGATTCATACCATTTAACGGTACAGACTTACCTCAAAGTACTCTAGGAGTTTTAGTCTGCTGAGATGCTATTTTAGAAACCCCTCACACCCTCTTGCAAATGTACAGTTATTAGGGTTGCTAGGTAAGTAGGACTAACTGTTTTAAATCAATTTAAATCTGTAGTGTGGATACGCTTATTTTGAGAAACAGAGATTTCTAAAACATAACTGTGCCAAAAAGCAAACGCCTATGCTTTAACTTTCAGAAAAGCACACAGGGCCCAGACTTGGATGTAGCAGATTTCTTCTTGAGCTTGAGGAAGGGGATGGAGAAGAGATCTCCACAGGTTTCTCCTTCACAGGTTTCCACCTTGCACTTGGCCCTTTTAAAAGCTGCTCTAGAGGGTTGGGGGATGCAATAGAACAGCATGGGAAGTGGGGGCCTGCAAACCGAATTGGCTAAAATAACCCTTTCCTCCAGTGGAAGCCTCTGTGGTATCCTAGCTCCTTCCACAAATAGAGGGAGTCTTTGTGTTCATGGAGGGTCAAGTCTGCATCCAAGCTACAGGTACAGTTACTGTAAGACCTAGTAGCTTTAAAACTCTTGCCCACACAGTGCAATTTCATTAATATTCTAAGCAGGGCTGGCCCAAGACATTTTGGCACCTGAGGTGGACCTTAAAATTGTGCTGCCTGCCAGGGAAAAAGAGATGTGGGAAGTTCTGCATCAGAAACCAAGGGGGAAGAAAGATTGAAATTGGGATCTGCTACCCGTTGGATCCTGCCGCCTAAGGCATTCACCTCACTTTGCTTCATAGGTGGGGCTGGCCTGGATTCTAAGAATCCTAAGAAGATTCCATAAATGACTGCTGCAGAAAAGTAGTGGTTATTTCTGAATGATCATGTGTAGGACTATGTCATGGAGCAATGTAATATAGAGACCCAAATAGGAGAACTTCTTAAACAAGAGCTTGCTACCCAGGCCTATGTGTATTCGTTCAGATGATGCCCTACTTTGTTTAATGTACAGTGGTACCTCGGGCTACATATGCTTCAGGTTACATATGCTTCAGGTTACAGACTCCGCTAACCAGAAATATTACCTCGGGTTAAGAACTTTGCTTCAGGATGAGAACAGAAATTGTGCTCTGGCGGTGTGGCAGCTGCAGGAGGCCCCATTAGCTAAAGTGGTGCTTCAGGTTAAGAACAGTTTCAGGTTAAGAACAGACCTCCAGAACAAATTAAGTTCTTAACCTGAGGTACCACTGTAACTTCCAAGTAAGTGTGCAAAATATTGCAGCTCAGGGATGGACAAGCTGTGTTCCTCCGGATCATGTATCTTAAACCTTTTCAGACCCAAACCCACTTTGAACCCAAACATGCATTGGGTTCCCATTTCTTAATTTTTCACCATACATTTGCATGGTGGTAGTGCTTCTGTTGTGAACCTCAGTCACAACAGTGTCCTGACCCATCAGTTGTGCTTCAGATGACACTGGGCTAAGACTCTCATCATCCCTGATCAAGCAGGAGATGAGAAAGGAAAAGCTGTATAACCCCCTCCCCCCTTAACAAATACATAAATAGCAACTTTGCTCACTTAAATTGTGTGGAAAGTGTTGAAACGTTACATTTTATAATTCTGTATCTCTTAGAAAACTCTCATTAACACGTCCACTGCTTAGAGGTAGACAACAGACTGTGAATACTGTGCTTAGACTTAGATGCTGCAACAATGCTTTAGAATGGTTAAGCAATAAATGATCAATCTTATTTTCCCCATGGAACGGCTGAAATTAATTCATCACATGGCATACCTTGTCACTTTGCCCTTTCAACCACAAAGAACAAATACGACTGGCAATTCCTTGTACAAAAAGATTATTGGTTTTGCAATTGGTGCTCCGCACACAATCCAGTAAGGCCCACAGTTGGTTCTGATTTAGGATTCAGAACTGAGCTTGTCCTCCCCCTGTCTGTTTTTTCTCCCTTGGACAGTGATTGAATTTATGATGTACAAACCTAATAATTTAACATGGAAAATGCACTAGCTTGGTACAATAGATAATGTGTTTGAAAAATGCTTTCACCGAGTTTTGCATTCATGTTTTTGCTGTCTATCAGCCTTGCCAAAAAGGAGAAAAGAATGAAAACCCGTTTGCAGTAGATCATATTCAGATGGCCAGATTTTCAAAGGGGCCTGAAACCAGCCTTTAATTTCACAGGTGCCATTCCCTTTAAGCATGTGGAAATAATGAATGCAAAATTGTGCATGCAAGATTAGAGGCTGCAGCCCGAATCCCCACTCTGCTTTGCATGCTGGTTTATATCTGTCTTTCTGTCGGAATCTGTTCCTCCACCTTTTTCTTTTCCCCCTTCTTTTTGCCCGTGATATTAAATAGGTGTCTTTAATGGGTCCTTTGACGCTACCAACGGTTGAGCACAAAGAAAAGGATAGACGCCGTAGTTTGCACTGATAGTGATATTTTGTACATATGACACCGAACAATAAAACTAAAGTTAAAAGACTCATAAAAATAGCAGTTATGAGACATGAAGTGATCGGATGGAGAAGGAAGGGCTTGCATAAAGAGGCCTTGGCTCTTTGATGTTTATTACCACCGCTGAGCAAATAGGAACAATGCTGTTTTTCATGAACACTTCTTAGCATTTGGTATTTAACATTTGTTTCCAATTTTTTAACAGTTAACATCGTGGGCTTTCATTATGCCATTGTCTTTAAAAATTGCGCGGGCCATCATGGTTGTAATTTATCTTTTGTACGATATAATTTGGAGCAGTTTCAGGCCAGAGAGGAACATCTGTATTGAAAAGCCGGGGATCTGGACACTTTTAAGAGTTCGAGACTGGGACATGTTAGAAGGTCAGCTTCCTCGTAAACTTCCCCTATCGGTGTTGGTTTTATTCATTATATTTGACATATTAAGCTTCTGTATCTTGGCATAAAGGGACACAATATTGCAGCATATTGGCAAGCTCATTTGCTTTTCACAGCTAGTGTTCTGTCCAAATATCAATCCCCCGGGATAAACACGTGTATATAGACTGTAGGAAAATGAGCCTCAGCAGCAGGTGGCCTTTTGCAGCCTAATGAACACGGCAATCTGTTACTATCACCGCACTGCTTTTCACCAGACAATTAGGCAACTAAGCATGTAATTATTCAGGCCAACAAGACGAGCCTCTTCTCTAATTTCATCTTTTCATTGCTGTTTACTCACCCACACTCCCCTCATTAATGAGAGATTTTCCAGTCTATGCTAATTGGTTTCAATAACATTCATTTCAGTTGAAAGGGGAACGATTCTGTTAATTGGAGAATCGAAAGCGCCTTTTCATTTCAAGTGCGTCCTGCTATGGAAATCTGAATCCTCTCAACAGGTTCGGGCTAATGAAATTAAGTTACACAGCCATCGGTGGCATAATAGAAATAAAGTAATTTATTTTCATTGAAGCATGTGCTCGAGGTCCCAAACAATTAATGCAGCTTGTACTGGGGAGAAATAGGAAATCGTGATCCTAAATAAACAAGGTTTGGTCTGGTTCCCCACCCCCTCACTTTGCTTTTTTTTTTTAGACTTGCTTATTTAACTTCCTTTCTCTGGTTAAGTGGCTAATCTTTTCAGTCCCGTTTCAGAAATAAATAATGTGAAGAATGCTCCTTAAAATAGAAGGTTAATTTTAGAACAGTTATACCAAAATAATCAAATGAAGGACAATTTAAAGTCCTCATTAATCTGTCAAATTAGTATTATGAGGTGGTGGTTTTTTTGTTTGTGTGTGTGTGTGTGTGTGTGTGTGTGTATATATATATATATATATATATATATATAAAATGAAAACATAGTTTAATGTATTGGAACAGTCCAAATAGCCACATGCAGACGATTTAAAATCTAGTTATGTCACTGTACATTTGGGTTTAATAATAATGGAAATCCCGAAGGCGTTTGAGACGCTGCTCCTTGGATCAGCACATTGATGAAAAACTATTAGCTTTAATTCCCCTGCCCTCCTTCCTAATAATAAAGTGACCGAAATGGCTGGGTCCCATTCTGCTACACTCCGTCCTTTAAGAGAAAGCTGCCTATTGCTTCAAGAAATCAAAGAAATCAAAAGAGTTAGGATAAAACATTTCTGGGCAGAAATGCCACACCTGGGTATCTGATAGGAGGCTGATAAATCAACATTTTGATCCTTCACTAACCTGGTGTCTGTACTGTAAGGTGTGGACTCAGAACTTCATGGTTCCCCATGTTTATATGGTAAAAGGCATTACTTTATTGACTTTATTGACATCGAAATGTGGCAACAGAGTCTTGCTGTGTTTTTGTGGTAGGGTTCCTGTTCAGGCAGCTGAAACTGGCCATGTGCCCTAAAGTCCTGCCCTAATGGGACCAGTGGCCCAAATGGTTAATTTCTGAAAGAAAAGGTGTCGGGGTTAAAGCATAACAAAAAGAGATGTCCTTTCACCCAGAAGCTTAATCCCAAGTTTAACCACAAGTTGGTTGAAAACAAAATGAACAAATGAACAAACAAGCAAGGGTTTGTCTGTTCTGGTTTGTGTGTGTGTGTGTGTGTGTGTGTGTGTGCGCGCGCACCCACCCACACACACACACACACACACTGAGGTACAATCCACCATTGCAAATACATTCCAGAAATGAGTACAAATTGCCTTGACCCAGATTCAAAACTGAAAACAAGTAGTTTAGGAAGCAATCCCAGATCCTCAAAGTGTCCCTATTTTCTAGGGATGGTCTCGGATTTACAGAAGCCACCCTGGTTTCTGATTCGATCCTGGAATGTCCCACTTTTTCTTAGGATGTCCTTATTTTCACCAGAGAAATGATGGAGGGTATGGAGCTATGTGACTACGAAGCCAAGGAGAACATCTGAAGGCAGCCCTGCATAGGGATTTTTTTTAAAAAAATGTTTAATGTTTTATTATGTTTTTATATATGTTGGAAGCTGCCCAGATTGGCTGGGGCAACCCAGTCAGATGGGTGGGGTATAAATAATAAATGAATGAATTTTATTCCAGCCCACATACAATATCAAGGAAGTCATAGAACACGATAGGGATACATTTGAATTTGAAATTAGGTATAACAGGAACAATACAGATATAGCAACAGTTAAAAAATATATAAATTAAAACTTAGTCACTAACATATAACCAAAAATTATAATTTAAAACCTTAATCATTATGATAGCACAGCTTGTTCCCTAAGTTTTATGGCAATCGCACAGAATTTGGCTACCCTTAACGTGATCTCAGGATCCTTGAAAATAATGAAACAACAACAACAACACCACAACAACGGAATAGGACATCCCTATTTTCATCAGAGAAATCTTTGAGGGTATCCAATTCTAAGCATGAGAAGCTAGCAGAAATTACGCAGGCTTGAGTTAAACTGGCATAAAGCATGCCAGAATCAAATTTTGTTCAGAAGCAGGGCTATTCCTGACTGAGACGACTTAAACCAGACAAAGGGAAAACAAGCTTTTAGAATAGAGTTTGGCGTACACCACACTTTATGTCGACTACAAGAAGATCAAACCTATCCATTCTTAAAGAAATCAGCCCTGAGTGCTCACTGGAAGGACAGATCGTGAAGCTGAGGCTCCAATACTTTGGCCACCTCATGAGAAGAGAAGACTCCCTGGAAAAGACCCTGATGTTGGGAAAGATGGAGGGCACAAGGAAAAGGGGACGACAGAGGACGAGATGATTGGATAGTGTCTTCAAAGTTACCAGCATGAGTTTGACCAAACTGCAGAAGGCAGGGGAAGACAGGAGTGCCTGGCGTGCTCTGGTCCATGGGGTCACGAAGAGTCGGACACGACTAAACGACTAAACACAACAACACACTTTATGTCAGCGTAAGTTCGGCTGAGTTGCCAGGTGATGTGACCCTGCTGAACAGAGGTAGGATTCAGTAGAAGTCCTCTTCTGCTCCATCGCTCCCTCAGAATGCCTATTTTTCATAAATCCCACTGAGCTCAGCTCGGCTGGCTGGGCCCTGGCTGAGCCAGGATAGGGAAGGTATGCCATTGTAGCACAGGAACTAACCAGGAGAGCTGCAGACCTGCTACATCATAACTTGCTCATCTTGAGCGAACTAGGGTTAGGAATGCACCCTTAGACTACTTAAGAATCAGCTTAGTATTATTTCTTGCTCTTTCCCTCTCCTTCCTTATTTCAGGAGAAATCTCACAAGAAACAAATTGTAGCAATGCCGAGCGAAGTAAGGGAACCGGTCTCCTTTTGTGAATCAGGACTGAAATGGCAAGCAATAATAAAAAAAAAACAACTCTTGAAGAACATCCTGAGTTTCCAGGGAATAATTAAAGAGAAATATTGGTCAAGAGTTTCCTCAACATACTAATGAAGTTGTTGCAGATGGACATATTGCATGTGGGAGGCCTTGGCTGTAGGGGTAGGTCAACGGTCAACAGATGGATCTGAAGAGATGGTTTATTGATTATCCTTAAGGTTTGGGGAAAGGAATATGCTCATCAACAGATAGCTAGTTTCCACCAAAGGCCATTTAGGACTAATAATCCATGTTTCATTTGGCAGAGTTGCCCTAGGTGGTTGCATAAAATTGGCCAAACCATTTATTGTTTATCACTGCAGAAAGGAAATAAATTGATTCAAAGAACTGGGAAATTTGGGAACTGCTTTATTTTTCAGTGGAAATTTTTGTCCCTTTTGTTGACAGCAGCCAGCTTTGAGGCAGAAGAAAGTGTTGGTGTTACTAAACAAGTCTCACCACACTCTGACGTTGTGGCATCATTGTTGTGATGTACATAAAGCAGGGCCAAGAAACTGGCAGTCTGTGGGCTTGATGTGGCCAGTGAGGCCTCCTCCAAAACTCATAGCATCCCCTGCTTTCCGCCCATCCCTATAGCAATTAGGCAGAAAAAAAACAACCTTTTATGGGAGTCAATGGTATGTTTTTTCCTCAGCTGGGGAGGGAAGGAATAACCACCCCATCCTTGCATGCTACATCCCTGCTCCACTGCAAAATGTCCTTCCCTGCATGGCAGTTAGGCTTGGGAACAGCCTTCTAGTGGTGCAAAAGGAAGGTTGTTTTCAAGCCTAATGGCAGCTGATTGTTTGCTAATACAATGCATTTGTTTTATCCAGCATATGCATTTTGATGCAAGCTTTACCCTAGTACAGTGGTACCTCGGGCTAAGTACTTAGGGTAATTCGTTCCAGAGGTCTGTTCTTAACCTGAAACTGTTCTTAACCTGAAGCACCACTTTAGCTAATGGGACCTCCTGCTGCTGCCGCGCTGCCGCTGTACGATTTCTGTTCTCATCCTGAAGCAAAGTTCTTAACCCGAGGTATTATTTCTGGGTTAGCGGAGTCTGTAACCTGAAGCATATGTAACCTGAAGCGTATGTAACCCGAGGTACCACTGCATGAGCATTTTTGTGCACATGACTTGACAAAGTGCTAGTTCTGAAGGAGGTACTGTATGTGTTGTTTTGCAAGGTGTGAATTGGGGAGGTTCGCCTTGCGATGCAAACCAAATCGAATTGCTCCTCTATCCCTACTGGAAAGGACCCTAAGCTGTGCTTCAGAGAGAGAGAGCCCCCTGCAAGCTTAGATCTTCATGAAATTTACTCCACTCTGAAAGTGAGACCTGGAAAGAGTTAACAACGTTTTTCCCAATCTTCATTCTTGCCTTGGCCACACCAATTACTGGAATCCAACCCCCCTACCAGAATTGGCCAAGAGCAAATGTAACATTTGGGCTGAAAAAGGCCCCTTGCTGCCCTTGCTTTTATTTGGGGCAATGACAAGTCCTATAGGTCCCCAGGACAACCTGGGGCTCAGTTAGTGGGGGCAGAGATGAAGTATAGTACTGCAGAGAGAGAAAAGCCCAGAAGGAATATTTTTTTTAAAAAAACATACTTTAAAAGATAGGCAGAACATGTAGACAATAAAATACCCCCATTTTTACAGGGATATTATTTAAAATTGTCAGCAGATCTGCTGAGTATTAAGAGCTCTGCCTGTGTATCCCCATCAAACCAGAGGCAAAGTAATTTCTGCAAAGCAATTGATATGCTCGCATAGGGACTCCTTATTTTGATTATAGAAAGTTTTGATTATAGAAAAGAAAAACCACCTTCTTTTTTCTATTTAGGGTTTTTTTAAATAAAAAAAATCTGATTTGCCACAGGTATCAAGATATAAAAGAATATGAGCTACAGGGTTCATTTGTGGAGGTTTAAGTAAGTAAAGTTTAGGGCGAATTGTGGTGCAGGCTTTGAGAGCTCTGAATTTTACTCCAGAGTTTTGCTTAAAAAAAAATAAAATGTAATCAGTGATTGCAAGAAATGGAGAGCAGGGGATCTGCTTCAATGTAGGTGGGAACATACCTGTGGTTGCAGTGGGGGGAGGGGAGAGTATTCCCTAGTCCTGTCTTATAACGAGTGATTGCTTGAGCTAACTGGCTACAAAACAGATGAGTAATATCTATTTTCTACCTTTGCTGAATGTAATGAAAAACAATTGAAACCAAAACAAAGTTGTTAATGATGTAATTGATTTTGGAGAAGCTAAAAAGGTTCGACATAAAACCCACTACGAGAAGTTTCTGGGAGTGGTTATTTCAATGGAATCAGATATGCCCAGACCTTTTGCTGGATAGCAAGGAGAGAATTGTGATGTTAGTAAACGAGAATTGCCATACAGTGGTACCTCGGGTTACAAACACCTCGGGTTACAGACTCTGCTAACCCGGAAGTAGTACCTCGGGTTAAGAACTTTACCTCAGGATGAGAACAGAAATCGTGTGGCGGCGGCGCGGCGGCAGCGTGGTACCTCATGTTAAGAATGGTTTCAGGTTAAGAACGGACTTCCGGAACAAATTAAGTTCGTAACCAGAGGTACCACTGTATCAGTCTTCTAACATTCCAGATTGTGACATCAGTTCTGCAGTTGTATATCGCTGCAAGGTGCATCTCCATGGATTAAACACTTGCTTCTGTGTTGGATTGTGTCCAAGGTCTCTGTAGATGTACATGCAGCTGTTGGTGATGCATTTGATCATCAGTTGAAACCACCCACCCACCATAAACAAAGTTCTATTCATGAAATGGCTCTGCGCATGGAAGATGGTTTCCATTGCGGCTCACAGTGTCAGCCCCAAAACTGGAGGGCTGGTGGAGCCTCCAGAATAGTGTGGGAGCTGCTGCAGGAGGTTGCAGAGGAAGGGAGAATTGGGGAAAATCAGTTCCACTCTCTTTTCTGTGAGTAGGAGTCTCCACTGAATAACAGGCCCTTTGTCTACCAACAGTCCAGAGGCATCTTTCCAATGCAACCAGCAGGTGAACTGCCACTATCATAAACAGAACCAAATCTGTACATGCAATTTTATTGTTATCACCCACAAACATCGATAACAAGAATCAGTGGGGATTTAACCACACATTTTCCTTTCATAATAGTTTCAATCTCAGCACTGTCCCTTTCCCAAAAGTATTTTTTTAAACCCCTCACCTTTTTTGACCGCCTCCATTTTTGAGTTCATCTGGAAACCTTGCCTTCCTGAAGAAGATCATAACTGCCAATAAGTAACTTACAGATACCAGTTTGTT